ACAAAAAAGCAAAATTCTAAGAAAAAAGATAAATAGAAAACTTGGCATAACAGAATGCCACATGCTATCGCCTTGCATTATATTAATATATAGATTGTTTTCATACAGGGGCTACCTTATTGTGCACCCATCTTTCCACAAAGTGCGCGGAAACTTTGTTTATCTTGGTGGAAGAGATGTAGGATGCCGGGGTTTCCATTTAAATATATATATATATCAGGGCCACTCAAGGAGGGCTTTCATTGAACATGGGTAAATCAAGAAATGACATTATTTTTGTCACCTCCTAAATCAGTATCTTACAAATTTTGAATTTGCAGATGCATCAACCCCTTGCATTACGAGGCCAGGGACAGTTATACGCTTCCTTCTTGCAAAGATGAATGCTGACTCTCTTGAACAAATTGATTGGGCCAAGGTAATTGACTAACTTCTACTACAGTACTAATTTCCTTTTCCTTGCAGCAGTTATTTTAAAGTTTTCTTGATTGCTCCTTTGTTCTGGCCAAGAGGATGCTCAAGGGTCTGAGGATCAAGGCAGACCACCTCAAATTGGAATACAAAATCACCGACCTTTCTGCTGAGATTTGCAGAATGCAGGAGTAAGTTTGCAGAATCCAGTTTACTACTTCACATTTTCTTGACTGATTTGCTTTAGATCACAAATTAAATCTACGTTGTTTTGCTTTTCAGTTTCAAAATGAAGCCGAAAGGGGGAAAAGAGGAAGCTAAGGAGGTGACAGTTTATGAATATTTCACGAAGCATCGCAGTATTGCTGTGACAATTTCTGGAGATATTCCTTGCATAAATGTTGGGAAGCAACATCCAGTTTTTTTTTCCTCTTGAGGTACTAGACAATTTACACCTGCTATGGGCAGATTTTAAGGTTGTGACCTCACTCACAGGACGTTATTCTCTTTGTCTTGTTAGCTTTGCTCCCTGGTGGAGAACCAGCGCTACACCAAGGTGCTTTCCGGTGCTGAAAGGATGAGAACATTACCTTTCTGCTGTGCATTTCACTAAAATCATATAAACTTGCAGGCAATAAGGACTTGCAACTACAAGGGTGACGCTCTTCTTCAATCTGCTAAAATTTCAATCAGCGATGAGTTTAGTAAAGTTAAAGGTCGTATCTTGCCATCCCCACAAGTGAGCATAATCAACGTTCAGTTATGCCTTTATTGCTCGCTCCAAAATTCTGCTTTACATTTCAGAATTCGAATTCGTTCACACAACAATAAAACACTTTTTATTATTACTTGCACTACACTTGAATGTAGACAAGGGACAGCTCTTTCCTACGGAAGGAAGGTGGAACTTTAACCACAAGGTAGGAATCTTGCTTTAACTGTTTTTCTTCCCATGATTTATCATTGCCACTCCTTTGATTATGATGTCTTTAATTACTAACACAGAAATTGGCTAAACCAATCACACTAAAGCGTTGGGCAGTTGTGGACTTCTCGAACCACTCTGGTGTCGCCAAGCTTTGTGAGGACCTGCAGAGGTGTGGGCTTAACCTAGGAATTGTGAGTACCTCTCCAACTATAGGGTGATATTTATATATAGTCATAATTCTGCATTAATGTTAACCTGTTCCATCATCTCTGCAGACCTTCGGTACACCATTTGTGCATATCTTTGAGGAGGATCTAGAGTTCAAAAATGACCCTGCTCCTGTGAGTTTTGAGGGGATGATAGAAAAACTGAAATCAGCGTATCTAGAAGATCTTCCTCAGTTCCTTCTCTGCATTCTACCACAAAGAAAGAAATCTGACCTTTATGGTTTGTTGCCTTGTTTACCTTTGTAGTTATAGTTATAGTGTTATACTAATTGTTGGAATGTCTTTTTCAATTATCTATCTGGTAACTTCCCTATTGAAGGCCCATGGAAGAGAAAGAATTTAGTTGATCTTGGTATCGTGACTTAATGCATTACTTGTCACGACCCAAAATCTGCATGACGTGACAACGTCTATCTCAATACTAGGCAAACCGACAACCTCAATAAAACTCAATATCTTTTAAGCTTGAAAACATAATATTTGAATTCAATAGAAAACCTCACAATTACAGATACAAAACACTCTCAAAACCCGGTGTCACTGAGTACATGAGCATCTAAATGATAACAAAGTCCGACTGTTAAAAACACTGTCTGAAAATATAGAACAGTACAATAGCTGAAAGGAAGAGAGTCAAGGTCAGCGGAAGCCAGGCAGCTACCTTGATAGTCTCCTACTGATGACGCTCTGAGATCTAACAGTCGTCATGTCCGGAAGCACCTGGATCTGCACACAAAGTGCAGAGTGTAGTATGAGTATAGCCAACTCAATAAGAATAAGACTAACCTTTGGGCTAATAGTAGTGACGAGCTCAGCAGGTACAGTCCATTATGGCAATAACGGTACAAAAATATAGGCATGCTTTCAAGTTCAACAATTAAATTTAGTACTGTATATGACCAATCCAGCCTAGGGAAGATCTATCCCATGTATACATCAACTAACAGTTAGTCACTCAGTGCCGTATAAGGTCAATCGAGCACATGGGTAATTTATCCCTAAATTATAATGATTCGGACAAAATTCATGTCAAGGGAAATTCATCACAAATATAAATAAGTAATACAAGTCCATGCCGAATATAAATCATCTACGCTCACTGTGGGGGGTGCAAACTCCAGAGGGGCTCATTCAGCCCAAACGTGATATAAAGTCGATATGGCCTGCTGCAGGCGGGCAGCCCCGATCCATATAATAATAAAGCTTATAAGGCCTGCAGTAGGCGGGCAGCCCCGATTCATAAAATAATAATATATATAAAGCTGATATGGCAGCGCGGGGGCATCCCCGATCCCATAAATATCCTCACAATTGATGAACATGACTGAGTATAAAATGTATATTTTAAAATAATTAAATTCAACAGCAACACGACCCTATGGGTCCCAAAATATCGGCACGTAGCCTAAACGTGATCTTTAATATGAGTCTCAGCTAAATTTTTCTAACACGTGGAGAATATTCGGATAATAACATGATTCTTTAATTTTTCAACTCCACAAAATTTATTCAAGTCACAATTTCTATGGTGCACGCCCACACGCTCGTCACCTAGCATGTGCGTCACCTCCAACAATTGATATAGCACAAAATTCAGGGATTCATACCCTTAGAACCAAGTTTAGAAATGTTACTTACCTCAAACCGTGAAATTCTTTATTCCGCTATGCCCTTTCCTCGTGAATTGGCCTCCGAAAGCCTCTTATATAGTCACAATTAATTCGATTTTGTCAATAAAAATCATAGGAATTTATTTCATATGAAAATACTAATTTTCCAACAAAATCCGAAATTTAACTCAAAAATTGCCCGTGGGGCCCATATCTCAGAATCCGATAAAAGTTACAAAATAAGAACGCACATTCAACCACGAGTCTAAACATATAAATTTTATCAAATTTCGGCATCAACTCGACCCTCAAATTTTCAAATTAAACTAAGAGGGTTTTCACAATTTTCCAACTTAATTCACCAATTAAATATTAAAAACAACCGTGGATTCGGGTAATTTGACCAATAATGAGTTAAAAATACTTACCCCGTTGTTTTTCTTGAAAATCTTCCGAAAATCGCCTCTTTCCGAACTCCAAATCGGTAAAAATGGAAATTTCGTCCTATTTTAAGAACTTAAACACTTTGCCTAGTCATTTCTTCTATGCGATCGGGGACCAAGTCCCGTGATCGCGAAGCACAAATTTTTCAATGCCCATATTACGCTTACGCGATCGCGGATAATGCCACGCGATCGCGAAGTACAGCTTCTCAGACCCACGCGATCGTGTACCTGTCCACGCGATTGCAAAGCACAAACTCGTGTGACCCCCTTGTTACCTCACTTCCTCTGCGCGAACGCGACATGCCTCCCGCGTTTAGGATGCGTGAACTACTCCAGCTACGCGATCGCGGTCCTCCTCATGCGATCGCATTGAACAAAACTCAATAGCCCACAATTAACCCTACGCGATCGCGGATACCCCTAAACGATCGCATAGCACAAAACCTGCACTGCCCAGCTAAGCCTACGCGATCACATACCTCTTCACGTGATCGCGTAGAAGGAAAACAGACCTGTGCACCAGAAAAACTTCAGCAAAACACCAAGTCCAAAAATTGATCTGTTAACCATCTGAAACTCACCCGAGGCCGCCGGGACCTCAACCAAATACACCAACAAGTCCTAAAACATCATACGAACTTAATCGAACCTGTAAATCACATCAAACAAAGTTAAAATCACGAATCATACCCCAATTCAAGCTTAATGAAACTAAGAAATACCAACCTCTACATTCGATGCAAATTTTGCACACAAGTCATAAATGCCATAACGGACCTATGAAAATTTTCAGAACTGGATTCCGACCCCGATATCAAAAAGTCAATTCCCCAGTCAAACTTCCAAACTTAAATTTCTAATTTCTCCATTTCAAGCATAATATAGCTATGGGCTTCCAAATAATTTTCGGACACACTCTTAAGTCCAAAATTACTATACGGAACTATTAGAATAATTAAAACTTTATTCCGGGGTCGTTTACACATAGGTCGACATCCAGCCAACCTTTTCAACTTAAGTTTTAAACTTAAGTTTTAAACTTTGTAACTAAGTGTTCCAATTCATTCCAAGATCTCACCAGACCCGAACCAATTACCCCGACGAGTCATATAACAACTATAAAGCACAAATTGAGCAGTAAATGAGGGACCGGAGTTGTAATACTCAAAACGACCGATCGGGTCGTTACATTTCTAATCTTGCAAAGATCAATCTTGATCGGTATCTCACCAATGTGCTGTTGAAAATTAACGTAAAGGCAAGTCTGAACTAACAAGATTCTTTACACCAATTATTAGCGACTTGACTGATTAAACATATCTTCTATATCTGGTGCTTCGTTGCAGCTGGGTGTATAAATTCCTTATTGACTATGGTGCTTGACCCATCAGCGCATCAGATTCCCACTATGATTATCGGCATGTATGTCTCACCTGGACCTGCAAATCTTCCAGCCATTGCAGCGGTACTAAAGGATTTTTGTGTTCATTTTACAATCGCTTACTTTACTAGGTCTTAGATGTCACTGATTTTATGTTTTTGAGATCATCAGGTGGTTAGTTCTAGACAGGGGCCCTTCATTTCATGCTATAAGGCAGTTGTTCGTACTCTGCCACCAAACTTGGAAGTGATACAATGTCTGTCCGAAAATGTAACTATTGCTAGAGATGAGGGCCTTTTCAGGTAGTTGCTGACTAACTATAGTTTTTTCGTGTTTAAAGTTTTTAGATCTTTCGTGTGAGGTTCTGTTTAAAAAAGCATTTTCATTGAAACGTAGCATATTCCCAATAATATACATGCCCTCTCTTTGTTGCTTAAGAAGTTTGTCCTGTTTTTTCAAGGAGCTGCTGCTAGACTTCTATAAGAGTTCTAACCATCAGAAACTTCAGAATATTGTGATTTTTAGGTATAATTTCTAAAAACTAGAGAACTGATTCAATCTTGAAGCATTTGCTCAAAATATACTTCTTTTAATCTGGAACTAAAAATTGTTATTCTTTTCAAGTTCCATATCCACATTTTCTGCAAGTTACTCTTGTTCGCCTTTAATGTATAGGGATGTAGCGCGTGAGGAGGACAAGACAGTCCTAAACTTAGAGCTTGATCAGATTAAAAAGGTTTGAACTGATAGTAGCAAATCTGTTATTGTATGTGAAAGAAAGAAAAGTAAACAAAACAAAAGAAAGAAAAGTTAAAAAGAGATGAACTACATGCCAAGGGCATCTTAAGGCTACGGGAGCGGCGTCAAAAGAGCACATTGATGTGCTAACCTGTGAAGGAAAGCTTCAGACGGACATGAAGGCCGTGAGGGTCATGGTGTGATTGACTAGTGTGGGTCAATCACAAAGTTAGACACCAGAGGGTGCAAGTGCGGAGGCACTTTCCAAGTGAACACCGAATGGAGGTGAAGTGCAGAGGCACGCTTGGAAGATACTTGGGGGAGAAGTGCATGGGGCACGACTCCTTTTGAGAAAGGACTTCGAGGAAGTCCAACCCACAGGACAAACGGAGCTGAAATGGGCATACCTGAGGGGGCAGACTCCGGGATGTCTTAAGCCATGATGTGTCATCGGGGACGATGACATTATGAGTGTGGGATGATGTCACAACCTCCATAAGCACTTACATCGGCATTCTTATGATGTATGTGCTTATATCGGCATTCAAATGATGTAAGCGCTTATATCGGCATTCCTATGATGTACGCGCTTACGTCGGCATGACATTCAAATGCCTATAAAAGGGGTATGCATTTTCATTTATAAATCATCGCTTAACTTCTTTTTTCTCTCTTCAATTAATAAAGAACCATTTTTTGTGTGGCCGTGGAGTAGGCAAAAATTGTCGAACCACATAAATATTCTCTTGTCTTATCTTGTGCAATTTATTGCTTCTCTTTCAAATATTTTTTTCCTCCAATTAGCCTCACACGTTTCCCAACAACTAGTATAAGGGCACAGATAGTGTAATTATGGTAGAAAAGTACGGTATTAGTGCATGTACTATTCACAAAAATAGTGCGACACTATTGATCATCGTTACTATTCACATAAATGTTTTTTTGTGAAAAGAAATGGCATCGGAAGAAGGGAAGGTTAAGATTGACAAATTCAATAGCAAAGATTTTGGATTCTGAAAAATGCAAAATAGATGATTATTTGTACCAGAAAAAATTACACTTACCTTGACCGAGGTAAAACCAGAGAATATGGCCAAAGCGAATTGGGATCTATTAGATCTCCAAGCTATTGGTGTGATTCGTTTGTTGCTAACACGAAATGTGTCGTTTAACATTATTAACGAGAAGACCATTGAAGGCCTGATGAAGGCGTTATCAAATATGTACGAGAAGTCATCTGCTTCAAATAAAGTCTATTTGATGCGTCGATTATTTAACTTAAAGATGACAGAAGATGGATCTGTTACAGAACATATCAATGAGTTTAATATAATATTAACTCAGTTGAGTTCTGTTAATATAACATTCAATGACAAAGTCAGGGCACTGATTCTACTATTATCTCTACTGGAGAGTTGGTTTACAATAGTAACTGCAGTTAGCAGTTCATCGGGAAGTACAAAACTCAAATTGGATCTGCTTTGAATACTGAAAGCATGGGGAGAATCAAATGATTCCCCAGGATCTGCTTTGAATACCAAAAGCAGGTGAGAAGCAGCCAAAAAGGACAAAGTCATGGTCGTGGAAGATCAAAGTCAAGGAGAAGAGGGCAATCCAAAAATCACAAAGATATTACGTGTTGGAATTGCGATAAAAAAGGTCACTACAGTAGTCAATGTAGAGAGCCAAAGAAAAAGAAGAACGATCAATACAAGGATTATAATTCAGCAAATGTAATTGATGAACAAGTTGGTGATGCACTAATTTGTTGTACAGACAGTCCAGTCGAATCTTGGATTCTGGACTCAGGTGCATCCTTTCACGCTACATCATGCAAAGAATTATTGCATAATTATATCTCTGGAAAATTTGGGAAGGTTTATCTAGTAGACGACGAACCTCTGGACATTGTTGGGAAATGTGAAGTTCATATAAAGACTTTACAAGGGGAAATTACAAAATTTTCGACATGTTCCTAGCCTCAAATAAAATCTGATATCTATGGGTTAGATTGATAGTGAAGGATATACAACAACATTCGGTAGCGAATCGTGGAAGATAACCAAAGGATATTTGGTTGTGGCATGAGGCTTCAAGAAGGAAACATTGTATGCAAATGCAATACACAGAGATACTATAGCAACATTTGATCATAGTCGTGATACAACATTATGGCACCGGAGGCTCGGGTATATGAGTGAGAAGGGAATGAAGTTGTTGACACCCAAAGAAAATTTACCAAACCTAAAGCATGTTGAATTAGGTTTGTTCGAAGATTGCATTTACGGAAAACAAAAGAGAGTTAGTTTCTCAAAGGCGGGAAGGATGCCAAAAAAAGAGAAGCTGGAACTAGTGCATACAGATGTGTGGGGACCAGCTCCTGTAACTTATCTGGTAGGCTCACACTATATGATGTGTTTGTTACCTTTAAAAGATGGAAAGTTGAAGTTAAAAATCAGACAAGTCAAAAGTTAAAATATCTGAAGTCTGACAATGGAGGAGAGTATGATAGTCAAGAGTTTAAAGCATTCTCCTCTGAGAATGGGATCACAATGATCAAGACAGTTCCTGGAACACCCGATTAAAATAGGGTTGCTGAGAGGATGAACAGAACCCTGAATGAACGAGCCAAAAGTATGAGAATACATTCTAGATTGCCGAAGTATTTTTGGGCTGAGGCTGTTAACACGACATCTTACCTCATAAACAGGGGACCCTTTGTACCACTGAATTTTGAAATTCCTGAGGAGGTATGGAAAGGAAATGAGGTAACTCTCTCACATCTGAAAATTTTGGGTTGTGTTGCTTCTGTACATGTAAACGCTAATGATAGAGATGAGCTTGATCCTAAAGCCAAGAAATATTTCTTTATTAGCTATGGTGATGATAATTTTGGTTATCGATTTTGGGATGATCAGAATAGAAAGATCCTAAGACACAGGAATGTCATATTTAATGAAAATGTGATGTACAAAGATAAGCTTGAAGTAGAACCAACCAGCACCAACAGATAGACATCTGAAACAGTTGAGTTAGAGGAAATCTCAAAAAATGAAGTGGATAGAGAGACTACAACTGGATCTGAAATTGAAGATGCCGAACCAGAAGTCGAATCTGGATCAGAATCATAACCAGAACCAAAGATAGAATCAGATGGAGAACCAGATCTGGAGTCAGGACTTGAATCAAATTCGGGATCAGTTAATCCTGAACCTATATTAAGGAGATCTAAAAGAGTCATGAATTCTCCTGATAGGTTAACTCTCTCTCTACACTATTTACTTCTGACTGATGCTGCAGAACCAGAGCATTTTGTTGAAGCAATACAGGTGATAAGCTATGATAAGTGGAAGCTAGCCTTGAAAGAAGAGATGAATTCTCTTCAAAAGAATAAAACATGTATACTTATAGAGTTACCAAAAGGAAAGAAGGCATTGCAAAACAAGTGGGTATGCAGGGTCAAAGAAGATCATGATGGTAAGAAGAGATACAAAACATGATTAGTAGTAAAAGGCTTCCAGCAGAAGGAAGGGATTGACTACACCGAGATCTTCTCTCCTGTAGTCAAATTAACTACTATCAGGTTGGTGCTAAGTATCGCAGCTACAAAAAATTTGCATTAGGAGCAACTAGATGTTAAAACTGCTTTCTTGCATGGTGACCTTGAAGAAGACATCTACATGAAGCAACCCGAAGGTTTTCAAGTTTCTGGTAAAGAAAACCTAGTGTGTAAGTTGCAGAAGAGTTTTTATGGTTTAAAACACGCACACCAACAATGGTACAAGAAATTTGATGGATTCATGCATAATAATGGTTTCACGATGTGAGATGGACCATTGCCGTTATATCAAAAATCTTGATAAATCCTATATCATTTTACTGCTGTACGTTGATGATATGCTAATTGCAGGATCTAGCATAAATGAGATAAACAGTGTTAAGCAACAACTAGCGGAGGAGTTTGAAATGAAAGACTTAGGACTAGCTAAGCAAATGCTTGGGATGAGGATTAGCAGAAACATTTCTGAAGGATCCTTAAAATTGTCTCAAGAAAAGTACATATAGAAGGTACTAAGAAGGTTCAGTCTTCATGATGCAAAGACCAAAAGAACTCCACTCTTAAGCCATCTTAATTTGTCGAAGGACCAATCACCTAAGACAGATGAAGAAAGGAAGTACATGTCCAAAGTTCCATATACTTCAACAGTAGGAAGTTTAATGTATGTTATGGTTTGCACTAGACGTGACATAGCCCATGCAGTTAGAGTTGTCAGTAGATACATGTCAGATCCAGGAAAGGAGCATTGGGAAGGTGTAAAATGGATATTCCGATATCTTAAAGGCACCTCTGGTATGGCACTTTGCTTTAAAAGGAGCAATATTATTTTACAAAGTTTTACTGATGCAAATTTAGGCGGCGATCTAGATAGTCAAAAAAGTACATGTAACGACCCGGCCGGCCGTTTAAAGTATTACAACCTCGTCTCCCCATTTACTGCTCAAATTGTGCTTTACGGTTGTTATTTAACTTGCCAGGATAATTGGTTCGGGTCCGGTAAGATTTTGTAATGATTTAGAACACTTAGTTCCAAGTTTTAGAACTTAAGTTGAAAGGTTGACCAGATGATGACTTATATGTAACGACCCCAAAAAAAATTTGCAAAGGAAATTAAGGTTTCGTGGTGCGAAACTAGGCTTACGTGTTTGAGAATTGTAGATATTCTTCGCGGCGAGCTTGCTCACCGTGGCAAGGACCTTTTGGGTTGAAAAATGCCCGGGGAGTAAAGGTAACATATTTGCCAAAAAACGTCATTTCTGCGTGCCACTATGCGGTCACAGAATCACTTTGCTGACTGCATAATGGCCGCAGAGTGAATTGGGGGTAGGGCAAGTTTGGAGGTAGGTTTACGTCGCATTATTCGACCGCAGACCAGTTCTGCGATGCATTATGCTACAGCAGACTAAAACAATGTTGCCCAGTTCTAGAGGGCCTTTTTGCGACCC